CTTGTTACCCTTGTTACCCGTTGTTACCCCTTGTTACCCTTGTTACCCTTGTTACCCTTGTTACGCCTTGTTACCCTTGTTACCCTTGTTACCCCTTGTTACCCTTGTTACCCCTTGTTACCCCTTTTTACCCCTTGTTACCCCTTGCTACCCTTTTTACCCCTGGTTACCCATTTTACGCCTTGTTCCTCCTTGTTACCCTTGTTACCCCTTGTTAGCCCTTGTTACCCTTGTTACCCTTGTTTATTTGTGTTACCCCTTTTTACCCCTAGTTACCCCATTTACCCCTCGTGAACAGAATATTGTGTATGTTTTTTGTCTGCTTCTTTGTATGTTTATCTGTTGGTTTTTTTGTAATAACCTTATTAACATTTAACATTGTAGAATCTATTGCACTGGTCTGCTGGATGGGTGGACTGGAACCTGGCACTGAACATGGAGGGAGGACCAAACTGGGTCAAGAATTTTGTTGATTCGCCGATTATTGTTGACGCTGAGAATGGACAATTCTATAAACAGGTGAGTTTGAAATGTTTTGGTTGCGGTTTAGAGTAAGTAATCTTTAAAAGGAGACGGGACTAGACTATTAAAAGCTGCATCGAACACGGTTATCACATGGCACCAGCAATGGGTCTGGCCCTTTTTTTCTTTTTTTAATACCCATTAAAGGGAACCCTAAATTTGTCCGAAATGAGAAGAAAATGCCAGAAGTTATGAACCTGGGAGTAGTCTTTTATGAATTGGCTACCTTTTTGAAATATTTAGGAATCCAAATGGACCAAGGCCAGGAAAAAAGGTACAAACCATGTAACCCTTTTTTCTTCACTTAATACCAGACACTTAGTGACTGGTCCTTCGAAGTTAATTAAACCTCGCTGTAACAGCGGTCGTCGATCAGTCGCAGGTTACAGTGCACTGTTGCCCTGTGACGTCATTGATTTTGCAATGTTGCCCGCTTAGAGATTTTGGAGGGAAACAGTTTCATTGTTAGATGTCATGTGACCTCGATGTAACCAATGAGAGCTTTCGCTGCTGGGAAAAAAATTCCAGCTATATAACAACACTTCTTGGTAACCTTCACTGTTTTCCATAGTTTAGCTCAGAAAGTGACGCAGTATCCGTACATATATTAATTGATTTAATTGGATTTTGACGTTTCTTACAGCCCATGTATTATCACCTCGGTCATTTTAGCAAATTTGTGCATCCAGGATCACGGAGAATTGGAGTGACATCTTCATCACAAACATCACTGGAGTTTATTGGATTTGTGACACCGCAGTTAAACACAGTCCTGGTGATTCTGAACACTGAAGCAAAAAATGTGACTTTCCATATCATCAATAAGAAAGCAGGAATCGTAACGGAAACCATACCCTCATATTCCATTCAAACTTACATTTGGTAATTTGTACGGAGTTTTGGTGGTGACAGGTCAGTTGAAACTGTTATAAATTTCGCCCTAAGAGGGCTGAATGTAAGAACAGACATAATAGCGAAAGACGCGAATGATCACAGAAGCTGTTTGTTTGGTATTCCACCGGTGTTTCATGCAAAAGAGGATTTGGGTTGCTCTCCATTAGGCGTGATTTAGGCTATCTTTACACCATACAGAATGGCTTTTGAGCCTACACGAAAATCATATCGGTTAGGGCTTCTGTTTAGACATAAGAACGGCAGTTTCGGCGCGATTTCTGTGACGGAGCGAAACTGTGACGCACCGATCTCAAGCGTCGCATATCGGATAGGTTCTGAGCAACACACTTTGGCGTAGTGTCAACAGCTATTCGGACCATCACGGAAGTGAATAAGAAGAAGAAAAGAGGACTGGGGGCCACTGAGACAAAAGTAAGCGTGATTCAGGGGTGAGGACGGGGATTTAGAGAACCAACTGCTCCGGCACTATGTTCGATGTGTGTGAACGACTTGTTCCGCTTGACCAGGGTTTTCAATAAGATTTTAATCAGGTAGCAAAAGCTTTGGAGTAGGTTGAGAAGGAAAAAAACTCGCGACAAAAGCGCGAGTTTCTGGGAAAAGTTTGAAATCTGGGCATCTTAGAATGCATTTCCGGGATTCTAGAGCAAAAATTATACTGCTTGAACAAAACACAGAAATCATTAACTTTTGGCTCTTTTTTCAGTGACAGAACATGAAAGCTCTTTTGAAATCGGGGTGATTTCCAAAGAAAAGTAGGCGGCGGGTTCACGTGAAATCGCCGGAGAATTCAGTTCGCCGGCCACCGGCTCTTGTTGAAAACCCTGGCTTTCGTGCCGTTGTTCTATGTTGTTCTGTTCTGTTCTGCGCTGTTGCTTTTTTTTCTCGTGTCGGCACGAAAAGCTGTCCGGTATTGTGTAAACGTAGCCAAACCAAGACCAAAACGTCAGAAATCGTTGCAACCAGCCAAGGAGAAAACGGAACAGCAATGCTTGATTATAAACAAAAAAATCATCTGAACCGTTTCATTCCATTTACATCGAGCGTGGATTTTTGAAAATGTAACAGCAACTTTCAGTTGGACTGGTCTGCCCCTGGAGGTGGATCAATTTCCCATTGTCTCTACTCTTTCTATTTTTATTTGCGGGACCTTTTTTTTGCGGATGGCTGGAAAAATCGCAAAAATTTTGTGCCAAACGGTATTCAAAACTGACTTATTGGATAATGCAATTCTAAAGTTTTGATTGGCTTAGCCATTATGGTATATGAGCAATTATAACATGCTCTCCAGTGTTTTTGATGTCATTTGTGTGGTCTATTTAAAAATTATTCCACAAGTGCGCGTTGGAAATGAGATGGTAGATAGCCAATGAAGCGCCTCATATCCAACAAGCGCGAGTAGAATAATTGGTTTAACATGAAAACGCCCACAAAATATCGAGAATTCTTTCCGACTTTATTTGTAAAAACAACCGATTTTCAGCTTGTTTTTAATTTTGAGCAGACGCGTACAGTTACCATATTTGGAGAGCATGGTACAGTATTTTACGTACTGTAAGTAGTAGATAAGAAATAAAATAGTGGAGCTATATATTAGAAAATATAAACTGTCGAGAAGCAAAATACCAAACATATTCTACGTAGTTCCTCATTCCATGTGTACCACCACAGACAATGCAATATTTTCTTGGCGTTTGTTAGTATTAAGAAACGGTCCAGATAAGAACGATAGCAAGAACGGCAACGAACATGTTGGAATGCAAAAAAGGTGCTAACTTTTCTATTGTCTGTACTTACTTCTGATTGGCTTAAACAGCAAAAGTTAACAAAACTTCATAAAGCAGTACATACATTCATCCTTACTTTCCAACCATCTTCCATATAACAAAATCTGGTCTCAGTTTGAATAACAAAGAAATCCTATGTGGGGAACATGTAAAATTGTAAACTTTTCTTGGCTATTGTTTTCAACTCTTGTGATTGGTCAAAATCTTTTAACACCAAAAAACACCCTTTCAAAGTGGAGTGTAAATGCATTTTATTGCGTAAACGGCCTTCGTGTAGGTTTATGCATTCTCTGTGTAAAAATGAGAACATTCCTATGTGGGGAAAGAACCGTTGCCACATAACAAAAGAAATTGCTATGCACCTTACCCGGATCATTACTTAATGATATTGTTTGTAAATAGGCTAATGATCGACGGAATAAAACCTTTTTTATATCAATAAATGAAATACAACAATTCTTCTGATTTACGTCTTATTTTTAATAGAAACGTTGCTTTTGTTCGTTGTATTTCAACGTGTTCAGACATGTGATATCACGAGGCGAAACGGTTTTTGATATATTATATTCTCTATGATACTCTACGATATTTACCCTATTCGGTTATATTTAAACTATTAACATGGTAAATTGATTTTTCAGGCTTTTTTTAATCTCAGTCGGTATGATACTAAACCGCTGGAATCGCCAACACTGCCCCCAATAGATTACACTTTCCAGTGTATGGCATGTGACACGATGATGATCATTTGAGTCACTTGCAATCAGGCGTCCTTTTTTTTTCGGGGAGGCGCGAAAATCGGGGGGCAGGCAAAGAGAATATGGCGCCATTTTTCATAAGCTCCGTATTGGGACGCGCGATTGGTGGTTCAGGTGCCCTAGGAGGGAGCGACTTTTCGACGGATTGGAAGGGGGGTGGTTGTGGGTGCTAAGTTATTGTTTGGAGAAAGAGAAGTCAGTGGATGGATTTTTTCTGTAGACTGGAACCAAATTTCGCCCCGTCATTCTTTTTGGCCTGCTTTTCTTCGTCTTTGCGACAGCGTTTAAGACGTTTTCACCTTCTAAATACTACTCTACCTGCCACAGCATAGATGTTGACCATCATGGAACCGTGTGTGACTGCTTTGACGATCAAGAGTGTGACTCTTTTAGCGAAGGAAGGCCCTTGTCTCATGTCTCAAATGCAAATCTTACGACTTTTTGAAATCGATTTTTCTCGCCCTGAAAGGCTAGTTTTCTATCTAGAAGGCCATAAAACACTTCTTTTTGGTGTATTTTTCTTATAACAAAAAAAAAATAAAATAAATTTCACGTTATTGAGCAAAACCATGGACTAACAACTATGGAAAAAACGCAAATTTGTCGACTTTTCAAGTTAAATCGAGGTTTTCATAGTCTACAAAGGCTAGTTTTCTATATACAAAAAGGTCCAATTTTGCTTAAAACCCCCCAAAATAAGAAATGTCCAAATATTTTACCAAAACCGTGTACTAACCCCCTTAGGAGAAACTGCAGATTTTACGATGTTTTTATAGTCTAGAAAGGCTGGTTTTCTATGTAGAAGACCCCAGAGCACCTATTTTTGGTTTATTCCTCTTATAACCAAAAGGTAAAAGAAATTTCAAATTTTTGGGCAAAGCCATGTACTAACAACTATGAAAAAAATGCAAATTTTCCAACTTTTTTCAATCGACATTTTCATAGTCTACAAAGGCTAGTTTTGTATAAAGGAGATAAAAAGACACCTAGTTTAGGCCTATTTTACTTAAAACCAAAAAAAGTTGAAACACATTCACATTTTGACCAAAACCATTGACTAACCCCATTGAAAACATGGAAACTTCTCGACTTTTTTAAGTGTTTTTATAGCCCCAAAAGACTAGTTTTCAATGTAGAAGGCCACAAGACAACTCTTTTTTGTTATTTTGCTTAAAACCAAAAAATGAAGACAGTACAAATTTTTGACCAAAACCATGTAGTAACCCCTTTGGAAAAATGCAAATTTTTCCACTTTTATAAATCGATATTTTCATAGTCTACAACGGTTTGTTGTCTATCTAGAAGGTCAAAAGACACCTTGTTTTCGCCTATTCTACTTAAAACTAAAAATTAGCAGTTTGCCAAATTTTTACCGAACAATGGACTAACTTCTTTTAAAAAAATGCAATTTTTCGACTTTTTAAATCAGTGTTTTTATTGTCCAAAAAGACTAGTTTTCTGTGTCGAAGGTCACAAAACACGTAGTTTTGGCCTATTTTGTTGAAACCTAAAAAAAGGAATGCTATTAAAAATTTTTTACCAAACCATGGACTAACCCCTTTAGAGCAATGCAAATTTTTCGTCTTTTCTAATCGGTGTCTTTGTGGTCTAAAAAGACTAGTTTTCTAAGTAGAAGGTCACAAGACACCTTGTTATGGCCCATTTTTCTTAAAACCGTAAAATGAAGAAATTTTTGACCAAAACCATGGACCAACCCCTTTGGAAAAATGCAAATTTGTCCACTTTTTCAAATTGGTGTTTTCATAGTCTAAAAAGACTAGTTTTCTTTATAGAAGGTTACAAGGCACATTGACTTTTCCTATTTTGCTAACAAAACCATGAATTGAAGAAAATTCACATTTTTCACCAAAACCAAAGAGTAACCCCTTTGAAATATTTCGACTTTTGGACTTTTTTAAAACTTCGCTTTGATGATCTAAAAGCATTCTTTTCTATCCAAAATATCAAAAAACGGTCCTTTCTGACTTTGCCCCAAAAATACCCTTGATAAAATATTCAATTTTTTTGACAAAAACCATGGACTAACCCCTTTGAAAAATTATGATTTTTTGGACTTCTTTAAACCTTCACTTTTTTGGTCTAAAAATCATTCTTTACTGTCCACAATATCCAAAAACGATCTTTTCTAGTCTAATTTGCGAAATAAACACCCTTCATGAAATATTCGACTTTTTGACAAAAACCATGGACTAACCCCTTTTGGACTTTTCTAAAACTACGCTTTTTGGGTCTAAAAAGCATTCTTTTCTATCCAGAATATCAAAAAACGGTCTTTTCTGTCTTAGTTTGCCCAAAAAATAAACTTGATAAAATATTCGACTTTTGATCAAAAATCATGGACTAACCCCTTTGAAAAATTTCCATTTTTTAAACTTTTTTTGAAAATCCACTCTTCTGGTCTAAAAAGC